TTTGACAGCTTGGTTCCAGTTCATACCCTCCCACTCATCGCCATGACCATCTAAGAGTCCCATTGCTAAATAAGTGCCCCCATCATGGTCCTTCCTTCATCCCTTTGACCCGTTACAGTCAGTATGCCACCGTAATGCCAATTCATGATAACATATGATGCCCTCACCCTGCCTTTAGCCCTGCGTTCACTGTTGAATGTCGTCAATAACAGAGAATTAATAATCTACTAAGTAATGGAATTCTACTGTTAAATAATGTAAGATCAGGCTTACTTTACCTTTTCAAAAGTAATGTTCAATTTTCTTCCAGTGCACAATTTGCGCTGTTGCAAATGGCAGAGAGGAGTCCAGAGGAGGGGTTTGGTGGAAGGGTTGGCAGGGAGGTGGTTTGCGAAGAGAGGCTGTAGATAGGCAATTTGAATGTTTGCAGAATGGAATTTTCAGTTCACTGGGAGCCAAGAAATACTAAAGTTGTGAAGACAATGAATTCTTCACAAATCAATGTGGAGTATCTGGTTTAAGGCTGTGGAAGTCCAGGAGCTACCAGGTGGGGTGGATATAGTGGGTTCTATTATAATGAACACTACGTCGATTAAATAATTTGATACTGATGATTCAATTCTTACGCCTTTGTGCTTATCACTCAGTTTAAAGTGTCTTACTTGCTGTGAATTATTTCAGGAGTGCCAGTGATAAACATAGAGAAAGGGCTGTCTACTTTTTATCTGACACGAAATTCAAGATCCTAGTGGAAAAGGGGTCAACATTTCCTTCAGTGTCACTTAGTCAAAGTCCTGACATTCCCTCCTGAGTGGCATTGTGGGTCTATCTACAGCTCACGGCCTGCAGCGGGTCAAGAAGACAGCTCACCATCACCTTCTGAAGGGGCAACTAGGGACGGGCAATAAACGCTGGCTCCGTTAGTGACACTCATGCCCCACAATTGAATTTAAAAAATAAACTAGGAAATGAATGGCTTTCTTGTTTGTTGTGATTGTCTGTTTAAAGGAGAGGTGAACTGAGGATATCAACAGACTCCGCTTCTGTGTCATTAGAAATGGCCAATATGTCAACACAAATGCAGGAGGTGATGTTAATAAGCAGATGCATCACGTAACGAAGGAATTAACGAGAATGAGAAAAGGAGTTCCCAAAAATCAAATGACTTGCATTGGGAAAATCTGAAGAGGAGCCTGAGCAAAAATAGGAATATTTCGAACCCTGCTCCAAAGCCTGGTATGCATTACCTGCTAAAGTTTCAAGTGTCTCATTACCTGTGAAAGGTTTGCACAAACCAGCCACTGTCATTTGGATGGCCACACCTAGCAAAACATGACTTCTTATGTCCTCTGGTCACCTCAACCAGAAGCGATCAATGATTGGAATTGCTTCCTAAGAACAGCATCACAGGCATTAACATTAGAAAGTAGGGTGTCCCAACTTAACATGAGATCAGTCATCGAACAGGAGAAATTCATTTGACGTACAGTAACAGCCTTTTTTTTAGAATCCCTACAGTGTGGAAACAGGCCCTTCGGCCCAACAAGTCCATGCCAACCCTCAGAGCACCCACATGGACACATCCCCTAATCTACACATCTCTGAACACTATGGGCAGTTTAGCATGACCAATCCACCTAGCCTACACATCTATAGACTGTGGGAGGAAACCCACACAGACACAGGGAGAATGTGCAAACTCCACACAGTCACCCGAGGGTGGAATCGAACCCAGGTCCTTGGCGCTGTGAGGCAGCAGTGCTAACCACTGAGCCACCATGCTAATAAATGGTCAAGGGGGAGACAATGACCTAGTGGTATTATTACTGGACTGTTAATCAAGAGACCCCAGATAACATTCTGGGGACTTGGGCTTGAATCCCACCAGATGGATTGATGTTACTCAAATGTAAACTTGCAGCACCAGGTTACCTCCTAGCAGTGATAGTAGGAACTGCAGATGCTGGAGAATCTGAGATAACAAGGTATAGAGCTGGGTGAACACAGCAGGTTCCTGCTCCTCTGATGCTGCTTGGCCTGCTGTGTTCGTACAGCTCTACACCTTGTTACCTCCTAGCAGTGTTTTCTTAAAGAGACAAAGATAGCTTTTGTATTTATTGGTCAGAACATTGAGAGTAGGAGTTGGGACATCGTGTTACGGCTGTACAGGACGTTGGTGAGGCCACTTTGTGTATGCTGTGTACAGTCCTGCTCACCCTACTATAGGAAGGGTGTTATTCAATTGGAATGTGTGCAGAAAAGATTTACAAGGATGTTACAGGGATTGGAGGGTTTGAGTTATAAGGAGAGCCTGGATAGGCTGGGACTTATTTCCCTGGAGTGTAGGAGGCTGAGGGGTGACCTGATGGAAGTTTATAAAATCATGAGTGGCATAGATAGGGTGAATAGTCAAGGTCTTTTCCCCAAGGTAGGGGGAGTCCAAAACTAGAAGGGCATAGGTTTAAGGTACGAGGGGAAAGATTTAAAAGGGACCTAAGGGGCAACTTTTCCACGCAGAGTGTCGTGTGTGTATGGAATGAGCTGCCAGAGGAAATGGTGGAGGCTGGTACAATTACAACATTTAAAAGGCATCTGGATGGATACATGAATAGGAAGGGTTTGGAGGGATATGGGCCAAGTACAGACAAATGGGACTAATTCAGATTAGGAAGCCTGGTCGACTTGGACACGTTGGGCTGAAGGGTCTGTTTCTGTTCTGTACTAATCTACTGCTCTATGAATGTTTTTATCGGGCTGCCTTATCAATACTGTTAAACTAATCTGCTGGTTGAGTTCCATTGCCACAAGATTTAATGAGGATCGATGTCAATTCTTGCACTAACTGCAAGCTGGACAATCTTCCAACCTCTTTTCCCTCATGGAATCCAAACAGAATAAATCATAAGCATTTGACACAGTAAATGTACGTATTGTCATCAGATCAGGAAAGAATTTCAAACAAGAGCCAATTAACTTGAAAGACTGTTTCAGGCCATCGCAGAGCAGATCATGTTATTGTAGAGATCAGTAGAGATTAGGGAGATTTTTTAACTTTTGATTTATGTGGGTGCTTGTTGAAAGCTGATTAGTTGGACCTTGGATTTTCAGTATGGTGTGGCTAACTCAGGGAAGACAGGCAAATGGGTTTGACTGTAGTTACCGAGACTGTAAGGAGAGAAAGATTAAAAACAACTTCATCATTAAATAAGGGGATGGAATTCAACAAATTAAAATGCCCTCAATAAACAATAAACAACATCTGCCTCATCAATATCAAAATGAAAGTAATTAACTGCAGATCTGACACAATCATGGACACCAGCAAGTGAGAGATACGTCTTGAGAGATCATACATTCTCCAAAGAAGGATCATAGTAATGACTATGCTAACTGCAAAGATGGAAATAATCAGGGAAATTATATATCAATCTGGGAGCAAAGCTGAAAATTTCATTGAGGACTTATTTTGTTCTGAAACACACCAATTAACCTATTCTAAATCAAAGCAATTTAGATGCTGAAAGCCTGAGACAAAACAGATATTGCTTTGTACCCAAAATGGCACGTGTGTGGTGATATTGCACACTTTTCACTGTACTCCTGTACTTGAGTACTGATGATAATAATGCTTAAATCAAATAAATCAAGTTTATTGCGAGGGCAATTGAACAGAAGAACAGAGAGGTTAGGCTTCAGTTATACAGGACATTGGGAAGACCACATCTGGAATACAAAGTGCCTGTGCCTGGCCCATTTCCCTCCAAACATTTCCTATTCATGCACTTATCCAAATGTCTTTTAAACATTTGTAACTGTACCCGCATCCACCACTTCCTCTGGAAGTTCATCCCACAAACGAACCACTCTCTGTGTAAAATGGTTGTCCTCTAATGTCCTTTTTAAATGTTTCTCCTCTAATCTTAAAAAGATACCCCTTAGTTTTGAAATCTCCCACCCTAGGGAAAAGACCTTTGTTATTCACCTTATAACTCAAGCCCTCCATTCCCGGCAACATCTTGGTAAATCTTAGCTGAACCCTGTCCAGTTTAATAACATCCTTCGTATAACGGGGCGATTGGAACTGCACAGAGTGCTCCAGAAGAGGCCTCACCAACATACTGAGGAACCTCAACATGACACCCCAACTCCTATACTCAAAGGTCTGAGCAATGAAGGCAAGCATGCTGAACGTGTTCTTTACCACCCTGTCTACCTGCGACGCAAACGTCAAAAAAATTATGTACCTGAACCCCTAGGTCTTTTTGTTCTATCTGCAGTACTTTGACCATATTCAACCTGTAACAGGCCACTACTCAGCAAACCAGTGTCAACTGTGTGTTCAACCTCAGCAACTGGTGTCATTGTTTTCAGTCTGTAACAGGTCAATGT